GGGGTGCCGAGGGATCCATGGGTGGGAACAGGAGGGGGGATTTGGGGTCGTTGCTCATCCCCGTGGGGAAGAGAGGAGACGCACGGGGCTTTTTGTAGTCTTTCACCCCACGGCGTGGGGCAATTGAAGCCGATCTCCAACCACCCGTAGCTGGCACAGAGCTCCCACGTGATTCATGGGGGTCTTGGAGGGCAGACACCCCCTGCCAGCGCCTGCCCCAGGCCACACCTGGGCAGCTCTTGAGAGGTGCCAAAACTGGAGCTTTGTGTGTTGAGCATCTCGGGGTTGGGGACATCGCCGGGTGATCGCAGCCACCCTCCTGGTGAGGGGCTCACCGAACCCTGCGATACACCTCCCACCTCTTGCCCTCCTCCAGGCCCTGGCAGTCAGTGACCACTACCCGGTCGAGGTGAAGCTGACGGCTTGAGCTCCTCCTGCGGCCACAGACCACGATCCAGCTCCAGCTCCCACCACCAAGTATCCATGAATGACGCATCCATGTCCTACCTCATCAAAGACTTTATTGACAAATCTCATTTCACAATTAGCTGTTGGACAGGAGGGAGGACATCGAAGGACCGACGGGCTCGGGACGCAGCGGCATCAAGACCCTCTCCCTGTCCGTTCCTGAGGGGAGCCGAGGAGCAGCTCTCCCGGCTCTCAGGAAAGGCAGCGGTGGCGTCAGGCACTCTATGGGGACTAAGGGGAAGGGGCGGTTGGGGCGGCCACAGGAGCAGACAGCACGTCACCAACTGCTGACGCTGCAGATGGCTTCACCGTGAAAGTCTACAGCTACAGCAGTGTTTCGGAGGGTCGCTCGAGCTCCTGGGACCGGGCTCTGGCCGGCTGGCTCCTCAGCTCTTCTTCTTCTTTAGCATCTCCATGTACATGCGAAGTGACTTCTGGATGGACTCTTTTGAAACAAAGCTGATGAAGTTCTGAATGTCTTCCTCCCGGTGAGCTACCAGGCGGTCCAACACGGCCTTCCTCATCATGGACTTGGTGAGCTGACGGGCATGGTCTGCGGAAAGGAGAGCGAGGATGGGAAACGCGCACGGTCCTCACCCCTGACCGGCTCTCAGCTACTGCCACCATCTGCAGGTGCCTCCGAAGGGGAGGTACAGCACGCCAACGGGCTCTTTAAACCAGCAGGGAAAGGTGTCAGGAAAACCCACCGGCTGGAGGCGGAACTGGATAAATTAACGTACAATAAATTATGATCTGTACTGCCCAGTGCAGAAACGACTGAGACAGATGACAAAAAGTTGTGCACCCTCCTTCTCTCTGCACTGTCTACAGCCCAGCCCCATTACACGCCGCTGGGCTCAGGACAGCAGTAACCGAACAAAATTCTCCCTCTTTGAAACTGCTCTGGCTCTAAGCTCCCCCAACCCAGCCCAGGACAGTCCGCTCTGGCCAAACATGCCGTACAACAGCCAGCAGCACTGCTCCCTCAAGTTCGTGCTGACAACAGGCTCTGGGCCAGTTCAGTACAGATACGTGGATGCTGCCGGAGCAGCGCTGGCTGCTGGAGCTGACCGAGGGCTCGAACACACATCTGCTCACACACACACAGGGCCACGCACAGTGATGTGGCAGCACAGCTGTAGCACAGATGTTGCATACGTGCTCTCAGTGCGCTTCAACCGTGATGGTGAAATGATGACCAACCCCCCCCAGGCACAGGGCAGCCCGAATCGCTCCGGCACCCACGTGCTACAGACACCTTCACCCGGACAGACTTCCCCAGGTTCTGTTTCAGGGCTCTGGGGAAGGATCTGCGTGGTGCCTCCTCCAAGTCAGAGGAGAGCACAGCTGAGACGTGCTCCCCTCCCTTGGGGGCTGAGGTTTCACAGCAGGGGAGAGTGCTGTTTAGGGACCCTCTTCCAAGGCTGGGACACAAAGTGACAGCCCTGGGACCCATCCTTTTCTGCCCAGTTTCATTCAGGCTTCTCCAGAAAGAGCAGCCAAAGGGTGATACGTAGTTCCAACTCCCTGGAGGTGACGTGGGATGGGATAGTTCAGATCTAGCCCTGGCCCACGCAGAGCCCTCTCCCAGCCTGGCAACCACGTGCTGTCAGCCAGGGAGCAGCCCAAACACGCACGTGATGCCTGTCCTCACACCCCCATCCCCAGCTCAGCAGAGCGACGAATCGATCCAGACCACAAAGGTGGACTGGCAGCCACCCACACGCTCTTGCCCAGTCTGTTCCCTCAACTCCATGGCAGCTTTCCTGGGGTGACATCTCTGCTGACAGACACAGAGATTCAGTTTCTGTCTGGAGCTCAGGCACCTCCAGATTGACTCAGCAGGGCTGGCAGGGTGAGCCGAGCTGGAGCCACATGCCCTGCATGCCCATGAAGGTGTCCTCCCACGCAGGGGCAGTGGCAAACCCATCTTCATCAGCCCAAGGCTGCCGGGACCACTATGCTGAGCTTTCCTATCTCCCAGCCATCCACATCTTCCCTTTAAATGGAAACTGTTACGTATCTCACAGGTACCAGCCCCTGTACCTGTCCTTCCCACCGAGATCAGATCCCTTCTTCCTCTGCCGGAGGTGCCGCACTTACCAGGAAGGGCCAGCCACTGCGCCATGACAGCTGCAGCCTTCTCCTGGAGCTTCTCCTCTGCCACCAGCTCGTCCACGAGGCCAAACCTGAGGGCCTCGGGTGCGGCGTGGAGGGAGCCCAGCTGGAGGGAGCGTTCAGCAACTCGGTGTCCCACCACGTTTACGAAGGTGTCCTTAAACCTAGGAGAGATGGGAGGAAAAGCCACAGTCAGGGAAAAAGACACCCAGCGGCAGCTGCACCCAGACACTGATGCGAAGAGCACGCTCGGTCCCACTCCCCGGGCACGGGTCTCCAAACAGCAGCTACAGGCTCAGCCACGCTGTGCACGGTCAGGCGAGCAGAGCCATTTTCGGTACTACCCTGACAGAGTTCACCCTCCTCCTCTCCACGAGAGCGGCTCTATGTACTCTCAGCGCACAGGTCCCAGCTCTGCCCGCTTGCTGTGATCTGGGAGCTCTGTTCCAAAAGTATATTTGCATGTTCTTAGGGCAAGCAAGGGTCCATGCTTTAGCATATCAGTGCCTCAGAGATCTCCACAGCTATGGGATTTTGCAGATACGCAGCCTGTACCTGCAGAAAAACCATATTCCCAGCCTGAGCCTGACCAGAGAGATCTCCCAGCGCTAGTTTTGGAGTTGACCGCAGAGTCAGAACTGAGATCCTTGCTAGTGAAGGATGTGAGAACATTCTGCAGCCTGAAAGCTTTTCATATACCTGCAGGATAGGACAGAGAAATGAGGTGCTGTGTCCTGCAGCTGCAACTACCTGATCACCGACACATAAAACTACATCTCAGCGGCGAGTTAAACTGATTGATAAACTCCTTGAAGATTAATTCTTTTGAGAGACCTACAGATGATACTAGAAGTGGGGAGGCACTGGCCTACCAGAAGGGAGCCACAATGCCCAGCTGGGCTTCGTTCAGGCCGATGCTGAATTTGGGGTTCTCCACCATGATCCTGTAGTCACACGACAAGGCAAGGAGACAGCCTCCCGCTGGGCTGGAGCCCTGGCAAAGAGAAGGAAGGAGTGAGTCTAGGTTGTGGTTACAAATGTGCCTGCACCCTCAGCCTCACTGTTTCTTCCAGGGCAGGGAAGACACAGGGTGACAGAGCTGCCAGGGACAGAGCAGATGTCCCCGCAAGTCTCAGACCACCTGATTCAAAACAGCCACTAAAGAAGACTTCTGATATATTTATCAGAGTTCATTTTTCAATGCTCTTTGTTTTGTGCATTCTCCAGCCTGGAAATCTAGTTAATTAATTCATGTTACTCAGGTTGCAAACTGTGCAGCGAACATTTTCACGAGTTTTTAATCTTGAGTCTGTAACCCTAAATGCCACAGAAATGGTTCTGTTCAGAGGCTGTGTAACGCCTTCCATCTATGTAACTTCCATCTGCGACCGTCTTTGCCACGACACGGTGCTTGCTTAGCCCTGCACAGGATGCCTGTGGGAAGCTGCTCAGGGACCCCGCTGCCTTCAAAGAGTCTATGGACACAGAACTGTGAGCAAGTCACCCTGGGCAACTCCTGCGAGTCTCATCGGTGAGCAAGCAGCCAGTGGGCGTGTGACAGGTGTCCTTTGGACTCCTCTTACGCCAACCGCTCACTTCTCCAGCACTCGTCTGCCATCAATGCCCCTCTGGGCTTTACCACTGGCCTACAGCCTTCCTCTCAGTCCTCCAGCCTGGAGGACAGACTCCCAGCCGAGTTCCTGGGGCAGCGTATGGCTTTTGCCGCACAAACGGCACCTTAGCCCCCATCAGCAGGACACCAGTGCCACGCAAGCTCTCCACCGCAGCCAAAATGCTGCTATACCCCAGCAGCACCTGCAGCTTACACGGAGCCTGCAACGTCCTGCGCTTCCACACCTTCCCACACCCCAACGCGCCGAAGCGACAGACGTGTACTTTGCCCAGACATCCCAACAAATACATCCCTGTATTTGTTTCAGCACTGACAAGCCCGATTTTTCGGCTGTCCCTGCCCACGCAGTGCAAACAAGCTGCAGCAAGCGACAGATCGCACAAGGCGACTAGGAAGGCGGCTCTAAAGGACGTACGTTCACTGCAGCGACTGTCACCATGTTGGAGCCGTACAGCTGGAGCCACATCTCCTGCACAGCTCTCCAGAACTCGGCGTAGTGCTCTGTGCTCTTCCCACACATCTCGGTGATGTCCAGGCCAGATGAAAAGATTTTGGGGACAGCCTGGAATGGAGAAAATAGAAATGTCACTGAGAGTCAGTGCTCAGGGATGACTCTTTAGCCTCTAACAGACTCAGCCTGAGGAAAAGGAAAGCGATTCTTAAATATGACATAAACCAGGGTCTTTTGGGGTTCTGAAACAATCTCCCCAGTGCTCCCACAGCCTGGATCATCCCATCACCATGGCCTGCAGGGCTGGAACTCTTGGTTAGCAGCGCGGTTTCTCATTATCAGGGTCGCTGTGCGGGTACCTCAGCCACGCAGCACAAGATGTGCCCTGTCCTCTTCCCAGGCACCACCTCGTACCCACATCACGTCTGAAAATAAAGACTGGCTTCCCCCAGCAGCTCCCTCCGGGCAGTTCAAGAGATCTCAAGGGATGTGTCAGGTTTGCACATAAGCAGCTTTGACGTTAATGACAAACAACACCACTCAGTTGTTATTCTTCCGCTAGAAAAGGGCAGGGAAGAACGAGCGCAGCGCTTCCAAGAACCCCCTGCCCTCCTTCGGAGCTGATCAAAGCTGCGTCCTGGCCTTCCCACGCCGGTGACCAGGGAGCCAGGAGGCCAAACACTCGCAAGGGAACGGCACCCGTGTCTGCCAAATTGCCCCGCAGCTCACACCCCGAGCTAAGAACAACACGTACAGATGTGAAGATTACGCCCCGGCAGGCCCGGTTGTTCTCCAGCTTCTCCAGGCTTATGCAAAACTCGGTGAGGAAGTCCAGGCTGAGGCTGTTGACTGGAGGGCTCTTGAACTTCATCGTGGCGACGCCTGTGCCATGGTAAACACAGAGACATCAGAACCCCTGCCCGCAGCGGCACACATTGCCTTGCCCAAGGGAGCTTCACCCTCTTCCCTGTTTCCTTGCTCACCCCAGATCGTGTCCTTCCGCTCCTGGCTCTTCAAAAAGCCCCCGGAGCTGCGGGGCCAAGACAGGGCCCTGCCTCTGCCCAGACCTGCCCGCAAGCCGGGGTTCGCTCAGCCAGCAGTGAACCTGGAGCATGAAGCTGTGTCCCAAAGACCAGCCACCTTCGGGGTCACGCTGCCTGGCGGTTCCCTTCTCTCTGGGCTCACTGGATACGGATGAGCCTCCAGCCTCACACACCTTTCTGAGCCTGCAGCAGCACTGCCACCCTGGCCAGCACGGCGGGAAAGGCTCTGAGCCCTTGTCCCCACCCAAAAAGGTCCCCACCGAGTGCTTGGTCTGGGTGCTGCAGCCGTGCCCGGGCTGGGGACAACGCGAGGGTGCACCCAGGGACCTGGAAGCCAAAACAGACCCTGGGAAGCCTCAAGAAGAGGCACCCTTTGTTTGGTGCGGGGACGTGGCCCTGTGACAGCTATTCCTGGCAGCCAGGACACAGAAATCCCCAACAGCTGCTCCCCCAAGGAGCGCCTGCCACTCTACCAGGTCCCCAAAGCAGGGACCCGGCAGAGGGGACGATGCATGGGCAGGGGACAGGGCACGAGGTCTGCTCATGGTGACAGCCAGGTGCCTGCGGCACCCAAGCAGCACCCACCTGACGTGCCCACGACCGGTGAGACTCCCATCCCTGAACGCTTCTCTCTGAGGGTCCAAAGCAGCCGAAGCTGGCACATCTAGGGCTTTGGTGGCTTTCCATGCCATGCAGCTGGCACGGAAGGGGCCCTGCCCGTGCCCCACAATGCCCCATGGGTTGCAGGTGCCACCGCAGAGGT